TAGATAGATAGATAGATAGATAGATAGATAGATAGATAGATAGATAGATAGATAGATATAGAATAGAATAGAATAGCAATAGCAATAGCAATAGCAATAGCAGTTAGACTTATATACCGCTTCATAGGGCTTTCAGCCCTCTCTAAGCGGTTTACAGAGTCAGCATATTGCCCCCAACAACAATCCGGGTCCTCATTTTACCCACCTCAGAAGGATGGAAGGCTGAGTCAACCTAGTTCACGTTAGTTACAGTTATCCACTGTTATAATCATTCTCTAGAAGTCATTTAGACAGTGGTCCCCAACCTCCGGCCCACTACCAGGCAGTGGTCTATTTCAAACCAAGCGCACGAGAGGTGGGACAGCACACACATGTGCGTAGCTCAATTCGTCTAAGCAGCGAGCCAGCACATATGTGCTTGCAAGGCCCGGTTCTCCTCTCCCCCACTCCCAGCTGTGCCTAGCCACAAAGTTTGGAGACCACTGATTTAGGATTCAGTCCATGTGGGGGTATTATAATATATTATTTTATTTTATACAAATGCTCTCTGCAAAAGTAATACATCTACTCAATGAAATACTCGTAATCAACAGCAATAGCATATCCTCTTACCATCTTCTGCAGTATTGAGTTTCAGACTTTTGCCTTTAAAGCTCAGCTGCCCTCCGCCCACTTGGGTTTTAGCAAGTGATTCTGCAAGCTTAGTTATATCTTCTGATGCCATTTTTTAACTGTGCCAACTGTTGCCAATATCAGATGGGAAAGATGCTGGAAAAGAAGACAGAAATAACTAAGTGTGTGTGAGAGATAAAAATTACCGTATTTTTCAGAGTATAAGCAGCACTTTTTCCCCTCCTAAAAGAAGCTGAAAATTTGGGTGCATCTTATACTCTGAATGAGCCCCACCCACCTGCCAGCCCCTACCCTTCTTCTTCCTGGCTGCAGAGATTGCCACCGACAATGGCTTGCGTTTTTGGGCTCCGTGTTTTCAGCCTCCAAATACTCAATGTGTGGTGCTAACAAATTGGCTACCCGCAACAGCTGCTGCCTTCTCTAAAGTAGGCAAACCCTTCCCTGGTTTGCCTACTTTAGTCACTGGAGCTCCCTCCGAGGATCAGCTGTGCTTTTGAAGCTGTTTTTCAGCCCAAACACTAGCTAAGCTAAGCTGTTCCAACAATCAGCTGTGCTTTAGAAGCATAGCACCCATCATCCCCAACCTCAAAACCAGTGAGCAAACTAATGAAGCTGACCAGGATAAGGACTAGCCAGATGAATTCTTGGTAGACAGATTCCCCCCCCCTTTTATTTTCCTCCACAAAAACTAAGGTGTGTTTTATACTCCAAAAAATACTGTAGCCTCTTTCACTCCCCCTCCTGTTCTCTTCTTTTGGTATAGAATAGCAAGAGGAAGCTAAAAATTGTTATTGTATTGGTTCTATAGCTTCAACATTATTGAATTTTTTGCTACCTCAGAAAAAGAAAGTGAAGAAAAGAGAGCAACTGTTCTCTATAAAACTATCCAGAGTAATAGAATGGAATGGAATTCTTTATTGGTCAAGTGTGATTGGACACACAAGGGATTTGTCTTTGGTGCATATGCTCTCTATACATAAATAAAAATAATATTGAATACATTCATCAAGGACCATAAGATACAACACTTAGTGATAGTCATAAGTTACTAATAAGCAACCAAATTGTACTAGGAAACAAATAAAATATAAATTTTAAAGATACAAGCAACATGGTTATAGTCATGTGGGAAGAGATAGGTACTATGAAGGAAGAGAAGAATAGTAGTACAGTCTTAGTAGGTAATATGACAGTGTTGTGGGAATTAGTTGTTTAGCAGAGTTGTTTAGCATTTGGGCAAAAACTGTCCTTGTGTCTAGTTGTTCTAGTGTGCAGTGCCCTAATTACCTTGCATGATAATATGCCACTGAACTAGGCTGAAAGATTGCTGTGAAGACAGTAATGTTTGCTTTGTTCAGACAAAACCAGCCAGGTCATTTTGTCCAAATATTACTCAGCTTATTTCAACGTTACTTAGCATCATTTTATAGCAAATGCTACCATCCTGCTTCTGCTATTTTATGCATAAATTAGGTTTGGTATTAACACATTTCAAGCAAGGATGGATAATGCAGGGCAGGGGGTGCACTAGGCAAGGAAGGTTTTGAACAGATTAATTGGGTAGCCAAATTCGCCATCCAGCAAAGCCCAGATCCACCTTTCTTAAAAAAGTAAATTCTGCTTTCATTCCATAAAAATTCTTTATTTCTAGTTTCTATCCATCCTATTTTATATACAAAGCTGAGCAAGAAACGATTCATGAGAATAAAAAGTAAACTTAACTGTCAATAGATTTTCTATCAGCCTTTTTTCTTCAATAAAAAAAGCATTTCCCAGCCATATACTCTAATTCCCAACTGTTCCATTCCAGTCACAGGTGAACCTCCAAAAAAACTGAACAAATAGCACTGACAGAGCCTACATTACAACATTTGTTTAATGACCGTTTGAAGTTACCGCACTGAAAAAGTGATTTGTGCGCTTTTTTCACATTTATGACCCTTGCAGCATCCCCATGGTTATATGATTAAAATTTAGATGTTTGGCAACTGACTCATATTTATGACGGTTGCAGTGTCCAGGGGTCACATGATCCCTCTTTGTGACCTTTTGACAAGCACAATCAATTGGAAGCCNTAATAGGTTTTTACATGGATCTGCTTATATCATCATCGTACTGATTAAAGCCTTTAAAAAAGAACATACCTGTTGTTTCAAACACTGCTGTTTTTACTACGGTCTCATCTTTGAAGACAGAGGAGATCTTAAGGAAAACAGTAACAACTTTTTCTGAGTCAGATGTGTCTGTCTAGAAGAAATATAATATCAAAATTAAACATACTACAATAGTTTGTCACTAAAAAGAGAACAGGTAGCCTGTTTACTATTACTTAACCTCATAAAAACTGTTTTGCAATAGATCTAGGCAATTATTATGATTGCAGTACTTTGATTTGCTTCTAAAGCAATGTTTAAGTAGACAGAGAGCTATAAACAGAACATTGGGATACAATTTCATAGAACAACTGCATCTTTTTCCAAATTCCCAGGGCATGCCTTGATGACCTTTCTGGAGTCAGATCTAAAGTGTTGCATAGCCCTACCAATTCTTATTTCTTCAAAGAAATTTAAAAAAAATAACTAATTTAGATTTTGCAAAGCTGCTAGTGATATTGGGCTTAATACACAGTAGAATTCTAATATTTGGTAAGTTTTCAGGTAAAGCAATGTGTAAAGTAGAAGAGAGGAGACACCAGTCAACAAGAACAGAACTACTGAGCAACTAAGCCGTGGTGCCCAGAAAACTGTGTTTTGTAAAATATTAGCAATGGTTTACCTGCTGAATTATCAAAGTCGAACATTTGGGGCCAAGTCGCAACAATTTCTCTGGTGATGGAAAAGCCAGAAAGGTGCCAACATCAACAGGAGGAAGAGGAGAGGATAATGGTATAGAATCCTGGAAGAAATCCTGAAAATTAATCTTTTGCCAGAAAATACAGAAGTAGAAGCGGTGTAGCAGATGAGAAATGAGGGAACCGGTGGTGAGGTAATGTGGATTCATTTCGGCAGAACTAGTATAACTTATTCCAAGTCACCACCCCAACCCAAGATGATAGAGTTTTAATCTTGTGGTCTGATTTTATACTGATATTGTCATCTCTCTTATTCCTGCTAGCATAATAATATATTAGATGAGAAATATAATCTTTCTCTCATTTACTCATAGGACTAGTTTTATTTAACAATAACTTTGTACAGCAAAGGATATGAAAAGCTTTCTCTTTTCTGTGCTTTATTACAGAAAGATTGTGCAGCTAATCACTTTCCTTTAAATTTTTATATAATTATTCTTCCTTTTCTTTTCCTGCTTTTATTCTGTTGAATTGTCAATTGCTACTTTTTCTCTTCTTGTTGCCCATTTCTAAATTCTGTTTGCTTTTTTGTCTGTGCTCCTAAAACAATAATAGTTTATTTGCATTACTTAAAATAAGTAGGCAGTTTTAAAACAAAACAGCCAGCTTGGCCTGGATATGAATTTAGGAATACACTTCAAGAACATCTGCAGGAATCTAGTCTAGTCTATATGGCTACATTTACTAGGAAATTTAAATGAACTTCGTATTAATTTTACATACTTATAAAATACTGTAGCCAAGTGTCTTAACAGGAAAAAAAACCATGAAGTGTAATCAAGTAAATAAATTATTTGTAAATTTTATTTTTGGCTACAGTATTTTGGAAACATAATAATCTGGAAGTGTACATTTTAATATGTTAAGTTTCAAGGGGGAAAGCAGCAAAGCAAAATTAAAGAGGAGGTGTATGCATTTGTTTTCATTAGGCAGATACACATAATTCCTTAAGGAAAATTATTTGGAAAAGTCAGCAACATAAAACTGTTAAATTTATCCAGCAATTTATTACTTTAGTATATTAAATAACTACTTTTATACAAGCAAAAACAATAACAATGAATAAATAGCTACAACAGCTTTCCAACTGAATGCACCAGGCACATCAATTGCAGCAGTTGTTCTTATTGAAAAGAGGAAAGGTGTGCTTATACCTACATGTTCCTCTAATATTTTTTTAGGTGTAAGGGGTTCTTGTTCTCCCTGTCCCCTCTCCTGCGCCTGAAGTGGCTCTTCTTCTTCTTCTTCCTCCTCCTCTTCTTCTTCTTCTTCTTCCTCCTCTTCTTCTTCCTCTTCCTCCTCCTCCTCTTCGTCATCTTCTCCATCATCCTCACTAAACGAATACAAGAATATAATTATATATACTATTGGGAGACATATGCAGATATTTATTTCTAATCAGCTTGTATTCATCATTATAAAATTGAAAAGACACACAAATAAAGAAATTGGATATCGAAACACCCTGAAGGTTGGAGAAAAGGCAGAACGAACAATTATATTTCTCCACTCCTGCCAAAGCCACAGTACAAATTAACCTTAAACCATATTTAAGATTAATTTGTACACAACAGCTGCACAGTACACTTTCACTTTTGCTATTGAGGTTTTGTGCTGAAAGGCTCTTAAAGAGCCTTGCAGTCATGAATATCCATTACATTTAATAAATTATTTCACAACACTCTGTATATAATACACATATTAACAAATAAAAATACTATTTTTTTGGCTCAATAAGTGTCTTGCAGTGAAATTTATCAAATTAACAAAAGTGTTAGTGTACATTGAAGTTAATTGTTGCTCAATAAGTGTCTATTTCACACATTAAAATCATTTAGAAATTGAAATAGCCAATTATTGGAGGCTCCGTTAGTATCTTACCTCAGGGAGCCTAGGATCTCTCCCATATTGAAGCCCTCAAGGATATCCTGGAGCTGTTCACAGCCTTCTTCTCCAAAACAATTGCCTATGACAAGGATAAAAGCATATATAAAGAGAAGTATTTATATATTTTAAAGGCTAGTTTGAAAACTCTGTTTCTATATGGAGAACTGAATAAAATCACAAATTTTAGTATCATATCTGAATGAAAAATGCTATACTGCAATTAAAGTTGATCACTATAAAGTCTTTGAAATCAATTGACTCAGATAGGAAGGGCAATCTGTGGCCTACTTGTCCTTGCATGTCACATCTTTTTGTATCTCCATAGTCCATGTTGCCAAGATGGCAAATTTACGGTTTTCTACCAATATTCAAATTAAAAACAAAATGATGTGGAAGTTTCCTGGTGTGTTTAATATACCTACAAAGGTTTTTAAAACTCAAGGCCTCTGACCCTTAACACTCATAGGAATCTATTCATTGTGACTTTTGGCTGCAGAAAAGTAACTTATTCTGGGCTATGCTTGGGTTTGGACAAACATAATGAGTGCCCATAAAACAAAGGTCTCAAATTAAAGCTATTGCTTATCCAGCCTCTGAGAAAAAGTCAATAAATCTACTCAGGAATAAGATTTGCATAATCTTAAACACTACAGTGAATCCTGTGGTCCATTATTACTGAGATTGCAGATTTGGGGAAACTAGAAAACCAGGCATCCAGTGGCAATTGGTAAAAGGGAGATAGGGAACTGATCACGAACTGAAAATCTGAGGAAAGCTAATTGAAAGGGAATGAACTCGAGAAAGAGAAGGGAATTTAGATATAAATATAGATTTATAAATATACCATAATTTTTGGAATATAAGGCATACCTTCCCCCCTCAAAAGAGCGTGGAAATGTTGGTCCGTCTTATACGCCAAATACAGCCAATTTTGGCCTCCTGAAGCCCCGCTTCCGTACCCCATTTTTGTGAAAAATGGGCCATTTTTCTGGGGTGTTTTTGCCTTCTTCCACCCCCTAGAAGCACTCTGCAAGCATCAGCAGGGCTGGGGGAAGGGAAAAACACCCACATTTTGGTGAAAAAAATGGGGCATTTTTGCCTTACCCCAGGCCTGCTGAAGGCTGCAGAGTGCTCCTGGGGGCCGGGGAAGACAAAAACTTTTTTTCTTACATACCTCTTCGAAATCTTGGTGTGTCTTATACACTGGTGCATCTTATAGTCCGAAAAATACGGTAGATTTAGGTTTACATTGGCTTGAAGTAGCCAATCAACCATTTGGTTTAGGATTTTAGCTACTAAAAACAGCATTATCAAACATAGCACAATCACATATAGTACCATTGAGCTCTAACTTCTCCAGCTCTGACTTGTCCTCAATAGCCTCAGCAACTATAAGCCCAGCATCTAATTTGATCTCACAGAAGGATAAGTTGAGTTCCTAGAAAGCAGAAAGTAAAGTTTCATAAGAATACTTGGGTTAGAAAGAATGCAAGAAATATTTTTAAGTGGGTTCATATCATGCAGAGTCCTAAAAAACAATTCAGAAACAATAGGGGCAGTGAAAAGATGCCTGAATTACAAATAATCATTTCTGAAGACTGCTTTGGTTAATTGACTGCTTGGGTTGATTTCATTTTTGATTCATTGCTTTTTACGTTCATGGATGAATAAATTATGTTCCTGCATGATATGTGACATATAAACCGTGGCTGCAGAGAACCCCATTCTTTGCACTAGCTTTCAGGAAATGTATTTTTTTTCCTGCTTTTCTTATGGCAGAAAATTAAACAATCTATGGTTCACCACAATCCTTACTGTGATTTGCTGAGACTCTGATATATGCGTGTAAATACGCTACCGTGGCCCAGCAAATTATTCAACTTTAGGATTTAAGAAGTTACCTATCCCTATTTTAGAATAACATGTTGGCCTTCATTCCGATTTAATATAAATAGAAACAAAATTTACATATATCTTAAAACCAAATATACACGATTCTTTAACTTCATCATGTAGCTTGACAAGACTGAAATGTTCTTGGTGTTTTCACTTGATTCCAACCCAAGACTGTATCTTTAGCTGTAAGATGGATGGTAACATAATTTTAGGATTTAAAAAACAAAATTTTAGGATTTTGGATCAGTGTTCTGCAAGTGGTTTCTTAAAATACAAAAATGCATGTATTTCATATTTATATGATCTCTAATATCAAAACTTTTACTTACAGAAGCCGAAATTATGCTCTAATCCTGCCCTAGCCAAACAAGTCTAGGAAATTAAGTGGCTCCACTGAAATAGTCTGGGCTACAGCGTCAGAGAAGGATTACCCTTTATTTTTCTTCACTGCCTGCTGGGCACAACTAAAGATCCCCAATAAGCATATTTGTCCCCACCCCCACATTTTAATGACCCCATAATCGGTAGGAGTTGCGGCAATTGAATGGAGCTGAATGTTTACTGGCTGGATTGGATGCCCTTCCTGTCACCAATGGAGAGATTTGGCCACAGATATATTCTTATTGTGCCCAGAAAAATATCTGCCTCTACCTAGGATTGAACTCACAGACTCCTGATTGTGAGGCAAAAGCTCCACCTCTAGGCTACTGCACCACTCACCCAATAAGCATATTCATGTCAGCCATAATTTAGTTTGTCTCACTGCATACATAGCAATATACATGAGGATTCAAGTACAATTGGCCAATACCTTTAGTTTATGAAGGCCTTCACTAACAGCTTCAGCAATAGCCACAGCACCTTTTGAACGCACCAGACAATCCCCAAAGTTGATCGTTTCCACTTGACGGAGCTTCTTGAGGGTCTGAATAAAACAAAGAAAACAATGCAGACATAATTCAAGGAAGCACCTCACAGAAATGCTTCCTTTTAAAAATATAAGGGAGTTGTACTGAATCGGACTTGTTGCATGCAGCATTTCAGAAGAGCTCATAAACAATTCCCAAGTGCAAGTGTTTACTTGTCTGGCTTCTGCCAGAAATTTAGAGGCACACTGCTACTATAGATAAAATGGTACCCTTACTCTTCATGATTTTCTCTCATCCCATTTTGAATTCTTCCCATGGGTCAATTTTTGTATTTTACATTAGCAAATTCAACAGTGTTTTCCAACTACTCCCCCCCAACTGCTATCTCATATGCATTAACATATAAGCAGCAAACTTAATGTACACTGGCCAAAATTGGGACTGTTTTCTCTAAACAATAAATCCATTTTATTTCACAACTGCTGTTCTAGATTTGAATCCAAATCACTATTAATGTGGAAATCAGTATTAATATAAAATGTATGACAAAATTATTGAAAAGTGCTTACTTCTGCCATAGCCACAGCTCCCTTCTCAGTGAAAGTATTATCGTTCAAATTAATCACTCTCAGCAAGGGATTGACAGCAAAGGCCTCAGCTAAGGCTGTAATTCCTGGATGATTGATTCCATTCTGTGGCATATGAACTTCTTCCATAGTCCCAATAACCTGAGGATCAAGATAGCATAGAGGGTCATTGTTCAAACAGAGGTAAAATCATTTTTCCTAATAACTGTATGTATCTCTATACCCTATTTAAACTCTTCATACAAATATTACGTATTGTAATCTAAAATAGCAGAGTGAAGAAGCTATTTCAAGCCCTAGCGTTTGCTTCTACAGATTCACCAATTGGAGTGCAATGCATGTTAATTTTTAATAAAATTATATTCAAAAACATTAAGTATACTATTTAGCTTCTTTTTCTCATGTATCTTGTATAATATTACTTACACCAAAAATGATAGGTAGATACACTATATTGCCAAAAGTATTCGCTCACAACTGCTTCTGATTATGTGGATGGGTGAGCGAATACTTTTGGCAATATAGTGTATCTTTATATTCTCAGCCCTACTTCTTAAATACACTAAGATTTATCAATTGAGAACCCTATTTACCAAAAGTGATTAAAAGAATTTTCAAGTACCCTTTCGTTCTAAAGCTCAATTTGCCAATCTATTTCAGAAGTCCATGTGCCCATAAAAGAAGAATCTAAAACAGTCTAAAGATCATATATCCCAACAAAAGGTATTAAGACAATATTTATTGGGGTCACTTTTATCTTTCTATTACATTTCCCCTATAATTGCTTGAATACAACTACTAATAGGTTACGATGGCAATTGGGATCAGAATTTCTGCCCCTAAGCTATGAAGTTGTAAAGTGTGACATCACATGGCTATATTGCTTAATTACAGCAATGTCATTAAAAGAGGACCTCACATGATCACATCTTTGAATTTCCTGCCATCTTTCCCAATGACTTTGCTTATGGGAAGCTGGTAGGAAACATAAAAATTGCAATCTGGTGACTATGGGGATACTGCAATGGCCAGAACGCTAGGATTGATCATATAAACCATTTGTTAAATGCTCTCATATCTTTGAATAATTGCTGAACAAATGGTTGGAAACGAAGGACTATCGGTAAGTTGAAATATGATAGAACAACAGGTTTCTATTCAAATAGGGCAGTTGGTCCAAACCTGTTGCACTACAATAATCCACCTATACTGCGATGGCACTTTTTTATTAATATAACGTCCTAATTTGTTGAATCCTCCAAATACATTCAGGAAGTGGCTGTTTCCCCAGAGAAATTGACCACTACTACAAAAGCCATCAGCATCACCAATAGCCATCAGCTAGTAAGAACATAATGTACAACAAATCAGAGTTGGATAATAAAAATATTCATATTTTTTAGAACATATCTGACCAAGGCTCAGATTTTCCCTTCCTATTTGCCTATTATACATAACTGTTTAATGGAATACGACTCTAATTCTTATACTCACTGTGAATGCCTCAGCAAGAGCAGTTGCACCATCATTTTCCAGGCGGTTCCTGCCAGCCATAAATACTTTCAGAGCCAACGGCTTGCCTTGAGCAGTTGATTTCCTGTGACATTCTTTCAGAGCTCCTGCTAAGATCTTAAGAAAAAACAATGTTGACATTGCTAAGGTGTCAATTCACCATGCCTACAGGGAACACATTATTTAAACTGCAATTTTATATACATGATATTGACACTCTGCAAGTAACATTGTGCATTAGTAACATTCCCAATTGCAACATAAAAAAGAGTAATTTTGGTCATGAAATTGGCATAAATGCATGTACTCAACTCAGATTTCTCTGTGGGATACAGGGTGACAGATTCTTTATCTCTTAACTAGAGTTCTTCTAGAACATTCTAGGACATGCCAAGAATAAGCCAGTATACTTTTTATTAGAGTAAATGATGCTGACTTTCCCATCAATTTGGGAGGCTTTGTAAGTCAACAATTTAAAGCAATACATCATATGTGTAGAAACAAATCACAAGGGAAGTTGGAAGTCAAACATTCTACTTTCCTCTTCATAAAGATTCAGGAAATGTTTTTTACCTTGCCACCACCAATACCCATGCCACAATTGTTTAACTTCAGTTCCTGCAGAGTGAAACAGGTAGGACTCTTCAGCAATGCCTCAAATCCACGGACTCCATCTGGTCCAAAGGCATTATCACTCAAATCCAACTCTACAAGTTGGCAGCCAGCAGAAATGAGGGCTTCTCCAAGAGAAATCTGACAAATGATAAAAGGTGGAACAAAATACTTTTACAGAAGAGAAATATTTTGTTCAAAGCAAGATACTATTTTTTTTTGGTTTGTGATATATCGTTTCAAGCTATGAAAAGTGCAACATACTTCATACAGTATCCCTAAAATTTCCAAATAAGACTATAATTAAACTCATATATAATATGTGATAAAAAGAAGAAAACTGATAGGAAATTATCTTAGGTATCTTTATACAGGAATAAGCTCCAAATGAACTTTCTCTTGAGTAAGCATTCCTAAAGAGACTGGATTGGTGAATAGACTTCACTTATCAGCAGCTGAGCTGAAGGCTCTTTCTCATTCACAAAATTTAAAAATATGGAATAACAAATCACATTACTATAATGCTGTATGTAAACTCAGCCTTACTCTTTCTCACAAACTTCCATGACAAATTCAGCTTTAATTTATAAACATATATTCACTTATTTCCTTAACCTGCTTAGAGAAAGAAGGCAATTCATTCAGTCTACAGCAGGGGTGTCAAATTCAAGACCCAGGGGTCAGATCTGGCCTGTAGGATGCTTAGATCTGGCCCGCAGGGATGTCCTGGAAACAAGGGCAAAGGACAGGCCCGTGGTGCCTCTGCCAGCAAAAACGGAGCTTGCAAGGGCCGCGCGTGGGAGAAAATGGATTTGGGAGCCTGTTTTTGCTGGCAGAGCCCTTAGGCCACCACAGGTGCCCCCAACATGAGTGACATTGAGCTGGCCGTGCCCCCCCTCCCCACCCTGAGGTCAAACACAACCCTGATGCGGCCCTCAATGAAATCGAGTTTGACACTCCTGGTCTACAATATTTCAGAAATATTTGATCCAAGACACTGCCTTGAACTGAATTAGACTGTTATTTGTTTACCTTACCATGACCCATTCTGATTAGCAGCAGTGTCAGCCAATAATCTTCTTTGCCTTTCTACTGAGAAATATCTTAACTGGAAATAATAATAAAGAACTGAACCTGAGACTTTTTCACAGATTCTTATATATACTGTATTACTGATTTGTCATTAGTCTCCAAATGGTTTGGTTTTGGTTGGTCCTTGCTTCCAAACCTCTGTAAAAAATCAGCATACTGCTGTCATTTTGATCACTAACCTCAGATGATACTCCCACACTGTAGCAGTAAAAAAATCTCATGTTAATAATAGTTAATAGTTACATATTTCACATACCAAAGCACAGGGAATCTCAGATCTCAGTCTCCCGGTGAACATATCACTCCAATGACACCTCTAGAATAATATATACATATATATTATAAATATGGTAAAAATCATAAAAGATATATAATAAACTGTTTATTTATCTATCTTGTCCTTGATGAACAATATGCATAATTGCAAAAATGACTATATCTGAAAACTAAGAAGCTGGCATAATAACCAAGTTCTAAAGAGTGTATAAATTTATTTATCCTGTTTGCTCAAATATAGAATACATGTTTACTTTATTTTAACAAGAGTTGAAGCTGGTCACAAATTCAGAGAAGGATTGAACACCAACCCTCCAAAACATAATAATACTTCTACCACATAAAGTGGTGGGTATGAGAGAGAGATATGACAGAATATGCAAGGCTGAGAGTTAATGATATTCAGAATGTGAAAATAATTAAGACCCTATGAAATGTTTCTTATGCTTGTCATCCAAAATATTCTTCAAACACATCAAAGTTTAAATAAATTTAAGGTACAATTTCATTATTATACAGACTCATCAGACATCAAAATCTCACCTTGAGCTGAGATTTCTTCTCCAGTGCCTTGGCAATGACCTTTGCTGCTTCAACTCCCACAGTATTTCCTTCCAAACGCAGGGCTTCTAGCCCATCAAACTCCTCAATCTCTTTGATCACATCTTCAGCTGCAGAGACAGGCAGAATATTTCTGAACTCTAACTCAAACTGCATCTATCCTCATTATAATTCCACCCTCAAGTCCTATTGTCTCTCCACCAATCATGCTTTCCTTCCTTTTTATTTAAAATTTTGCACTCTTTACCAAGATGACTTAAAGCAAAATAACAGATTCCTGATTGCTAGTTATAGCAATAGTAATAGTTAGACTTATATACCGCTTCATAGGGCTTTCAGCCCTCTCTAAGCGGTTTACAGAGTCAGCATATTGCCCCCAACAACAATCCGGGTCCCAGTGATCTAAGTCCCAGAGCTCACTGTAACAGCATTGCCAAAAAGGCATTAAAAGTTGTTAGCCTAATTTTGGGAAGCTTCTTCTCCGGCAACATTGTACTGCTAATTAGGGCATATAAAACCTTTGCCATTCAATTCTTGAATACAGCTCGTCTGCCTGGAATCCACACTGTATATCGGACATTAATACGATTGAGCAGGTGGAGAGGCATTTCACGAGTAGCGCACTCCACTCCTCTGCTCACAAAAGAATCCCTTATGCCACCAGGCTCGAAATTTTGGGCTTGGACAACCTGGAGCTGTGCCACCTGCGGTCGAACCTAAGTAGAGTACACAGAATTGTTTACTACAATGTCCTACCTGTCAACAACTACTTCAGCTTCAACTGCAATAATTCACGGGCAAACAATCGATACAAACTCAAGGTCAAAACTCGATTGCAGAAAATATGACTT